TAACAAAGAAAGATAAATACGCCAAGTATTGATATATTGTAGGCTTAACTTGTCCTCGGTCATTATCAGCATTTCGTTCCGAAATAAATGGAAGCACTACACAATTTGAATAAAATCTGAAAGCACCCATTCTGAACATTGCAGTAAAAGTGTTGTTTATATATACACAGTAGTAACGGATAAAACGGTTTTCTCAAATTGAAACTTTTTAGCCTTTGAAAAAGAGTAAATATAAGACAGATACAATGGCTATACAAAAAGCAATAGAAAAATCGTTTGGTCATCATTGCATAAAAAGTAAACGGCAAACACTAGCAGAATATGGAAGTAAATCTATTCAACTTTCACTGTTTCCTTACACAAACCCAGTTCCTAAAAAACTTTTCGCGCCTTCAAGTATAGGGCTTTTCGCTTATAAATTAACTCCACAAATCGCTGTAGTGGTAGGCGTCCGAGTTGGGTGAATTCCAATAATTTACTATTGTGCATATCAATTTTTTAAAATAAAGTTATCTTTGAAAGAGGTAAGATTTTCTCTTAGGAACCACTATCTTGGCGACCACAAAACAACAAAGAAACACGTGCTCTAAAAGCATACTTTTTGTGTATTTCTGCAATTCTTTGGCTTATGCGGTTTTTATGCTTAATTTGCGTATTTGAATGCTGGTAAAACGCTAAGCTGCCAAATTAAAAGAGAGATTGTGAACCATCCAAGTTTTTCCATGATGCCCATGCCAGTTCTAGAAGCCTCTTCGCTTACTCAATCTGCATAATCGTGAGCTCGGAAGCGCTAACAAGATATTTCAAGATATGCACTACTTTGTGGTACTAGTCACAATTAGAGGGTAAGCAGCACTTTTGGAGAAAATTAAGGGCTGAATGTTACCATCTGTAACTTTTTCTAAACTAAGCGTGATTCATGACTGTTTTTTTATGTTGCTTATTCTCCAGTATTAGGCATTCTTTTAGATATTATGAAATGTATGCTGTTCACCGCTATCAAATTGCTGTCAACAAATTTAGAGCATGATATCGGTTTTCTGCAAAAGTATAAAGTTTTTTATCGGTGGTTATTCAAAGCCGAATGTTTAACGCCAACCTGCTGATATGTACCGTAATCTGTTGAAACCAACTACTGAGGCTTGAAGAACGTAATAATAATGAAGATAACAAAGATAACATTACAGATTTTTGTTTAAAATTTTTACTTGAAACTAAATTCATTTCCTGAAAACATTGGTAGCAGTGGATTGCGTGCATTTTTCGTGCCACTCAGTGGAATGCATAATACTGGAGTTATGCGACTGTGTAAGTTATAATTCTTCTCACTTTTCCTTTGAATTATTATGTTTTTCAATTATTCCGATTAAAGATTGTACGGTAGATGGGTCTGTCACACAAGCAATATCAGTTTAAGCCGAAAGATTAAACTGTGTTATATCACTTACTTGGCATTTAAATTGGAACAAAGTCTTATGCTTTTACTATTAAAAACATTTAAAAAATTTGCAATTTCTTCCTCTCCTGCTCGTCCTGCAAAACGAGCATCTTCAACGTCAACGTGACTTCACGAGTCTGACGTCTCTTAACCGTCAACTATCGTCTTATTAAAACATCAAAAATAGGCTAAAAACATCGGTGACTCTGGATTTTCTTAGGTTTTTATTACTCCATCTAACTGTTTTTTTTTACTACACTTCTTCTTTATCACTAGCTGTGCAGGAAATGAAAACGCATGCAGTTTTATCTCAAAGAACCAGCATTTTTGTTGAAAAAGAAGAGTAAATTTTGTCTTTGACAAAGCGCCTTGTTAAAATTCTGCTGAGTAAATACGCACTACTCAAATGTCTCGAGCATAAACTCGTATAGGGGACGAGAAACAAAAAATAAAAAAAAAGTGATAGCACAATTGCGTTTTTGGAGATGTATTGATTAAACATCGTGGATCAAAGAACATTTTCGCGTTTAATATAACATGAAGTTAAGAAAGTTAGGAATTAGCAAAAACTTTCACATTGAACAAAGACTAAAAAGTGTTTCATACACTCACAGTTACCTATCGTACTGTAAATCATTTTTGTGTCAGCAAAACTTCTCTTATTTTGCTCATTTTTCAAAAACTAATACTTGTCTGAAATTCTAGACTGTCTTTTTTTTACATCAATTCGTTTTTTTAGGGTGTGGAGGAGTAGAAAAGCGGAAAAGCGAAGAATAGAAGTGAGAGACGAAAGGAAGTGATTTTGGCTTCAGTCTTTTTAACTGACGGTAATCTGCGCAAATAGTGCTCTAAATCTTTTCGTCCTCTCTTTGCCTACAAAATTTCTATTATCGTTCCCTGTCAAATCAGCCCTCTTCCTTTAATTATCTATTACTTACTGCTCGTGAGTGTGCTGTTCAGGTCCTTCAGGAGCGATGTGAAGAATCGTCCATTCATTCCTGGTTTCACCAATCTTCTTTCGATTTCACTTCGTTTTGCCGTTAGACTGGTGAGTTTTAAAGAAACACGTTGACTCTGTAAAGCTCTTCCGAACTAAAAGTCTTTCACCGTTTTCTTTTTTTGCTGTAAATCTTCTATTAACCTCTGTTGTCCCAACGACATGCATCTTCTGTAATGAGAAACGAAGTGTTCAAATATAAAGTTGCGAGAGACAAGCATTAAGCTTTCACATGAGTTGAGAGGGCTTTTAGCTGAATGAAGGTAGTTGACTATTGTTAAGTCAGGAAAACTACACAAGAATTTTGTGGAGACAGGTGCAGGAAAAAGATTTAAAAAACAATATTCTAAAATTAGTGAATCTTGCATAGAAGTTTCCGAATAATGCGATTTAGCAGCGGGATGGCTAACTATAAAGTGGCGTCTTCTTTATAGATTTCCTCATAATACCTTCCCAACTTCTTTTTGCTTATTTCACTAAATTTGGAACTTCAGATAAAGATATTTTTTTTTTAATTAAAAAATACGTATACATAAATTAACTGGCTAAAGGATGCTTAAAGATGCTTAAAAGAACGATTAGCAATTAACAACAGTTGAAACAAAATCATTCACCACTTTCAAAGCCGAATGTCAACGGTGATTAAAAACCGTAGTTGACTGAAAAATTATTCACCGATTTTTTAAGCAGCTAAGCACACGTTTCAAATATTACAGACTAATATGTAAAACTGATCAGTGCTGTTTATAAAACCAAGCAGCAAATATGGTTCAGAAAAATGCAGAAAAATTTAACGCAAAAAATTTTGTTGTTTTAATTTGAAATAAACATCAGAAGAAACAACCAAATCTATTTGAAAGTTATCGAGTGTATGCGGCAGAAAATTGTGGAGTTGTAAGAAGCTGAAAATTTTTAGATGCTGGAAAATTGATCTTTCAGATAGGGGTTGGCATTTCTGCAACAAACACGCGGCGATCGGCTTTTTTAGCTGTAACTCAGTCGAGGTATACTTATTTGCTCGCTTGGCCAAAACCATTCACGATGTATAGCATAGGATATGTTTGTTGGTGAGAAATTCAAAAACAGTTAATCAGCTAAACAGTTTATTTTCAATAATCATTGTTGACATTTGTAGAAAAGGCGACTCCGCCTTGTAATCTAATCAATAAATTTTTATTTGAAAAAAAAATTTAATAATTTGAATGATAATTTCATTTCTTAAATAACTGGAGAACTTTTATTTCTGACACACTAAAAGATTAGTTTTTGTTTAGAAACAAATAAAGCACAAAATTTATCAAAGCAAAGAAAAAAACCAAAAAAAACCTTTTAAAATTCAACTAAATTTAGTGAAATTATCATGCAACGTTCGTATTATGGTTATTAATTTTCAAACATTAGACTGCTTCTTCAAAATCATTTTAAAAAAGGTGTAATTCCCTCAAAATCTCCACTTTTTTAACAAGATTTTTTTTACTTTCAGAATATTATGATAGACACATTTGCGTGTAAAGATCATAAATTGATTTCAGAAAAAAAAAGTGTTTCTTTTTTTTTTTTTTTGTTTTGATTATCTATAATTCTTTTACTGACATTTTACGTCAGTAGGTGTAATTACTGTAATAGTGTCAGGTAAACCAGTTTTTAAAATCAGTCAACAACAGATTTTTTACATATCACTACAGTTGACGAAAAAATTCGTTATACCGCATTATACCAAACTTCACAACGATTAGTTGGAGCAGGATTCATGTAAGAATTAACTTTGCAGTTGAAATCTGCTGCAAATTCTGGCAGATCTCGGAGAACTTGATTAACTCGACAGTCTCCAGTCGCATGCGGATTAGTTAAAAGCTGAAACTGTTCATTTGATTTGCATCAAAAACTTCTAAATTTAAAATTTGAACCTTGATCTTTATTACTAAATCTTATTAAAAGCAGTAAAAAAATATAAATTTCAGTATTAAATATTTTTTCTGAAACCAAGCTAACTTTTGTCTTTTATTTTTCATTTTTTAATTAAAAAACCTGTCTAATAAGACTGTCGTCGCTGTATACCATACACCACGAATATCCGTACGTTATCCAAAATATTTGATTAGGTGTGTACTGCTCCAAATGTGGAACACCTAATTCTTTGCCATTCTTCTGGACGTATTTCTGATAGGCTTTGTATGCTGCCAGTTGACCTAAAACGAAGATGTAGAACAGATATATCCGTTGAGTTTGTCCAACAGTCTGCAATAAAGTATGTTAAGTTATTCTGAGTCATTATCTACTTGAAGTTTTTTAAAAACAGAAACACTGATCTGATTACCTCCAATATCTGCAATATTCTCTCCTTGTGTTCTTTCACCGTTTGCGCAGTGAACATTTCCAGTTGTCATGGGGCAACATTTCTCAGAATACTGAGTTACGACACACTGAGCCATGTTAATGAATCCAGATGTCGAATTTCTATCCATCCAACCGCAGTGGTCCCAGGAACAATTTGTAAGTGCTCCATCAGGGCCAAACTGTACACCTACAAAGTCAGTAAAGCAACATTTTATTGGATCTTGAAGATATTTGAGGAATACGCAAATCTATTTCATTGTTTAGTGTTCATTCTCTGGTCTTTTCCAAAAATCAATTTCGTTATGACTTTAACTTTATAATCTTCTTCTATGACTCAGAGTTTAGTAAAACTTTCTGCTGTTAAACTTTTTTCATAAAATGGAAACACTAAAAAACAAATTGTATAATTTTTTAAAATTTTGATAGAAAGTGGTACAGCTGAAGCTAAAATTTGGTACCTTCGTCATCATATCCATGCGTTAATTCATGCCCAGCTGTACCACCTTGCCCAGCATAGTTGTAAGCTTGCGGAAAGCCATATCTGTAAGACTTAATTTCTTTCTAATTTTCCGTTTTGTGATGATAAAACTACGTGTTTTTAGGAGTTTAAAAAAACAAAACGTTGCTTCTTTCTTATCATTTTAATTACTGCTAACTACTTTTGCTATTATAGTAAAAATATATTTCAGAAAAAAAACTTGTAATAAGGCGGGTTCAGCGCTGCGTAAGGTATAGTTATCGAATTTCTTTCAGGCTGATACCAGGCGTTCACAAGTGCTGGTGACATCAAGAAATTTGTTCTAAATACAGAAAATCTGTACGTTAATTTGCGATCTGTTCTACTGTATAATAATAGTACAATAGTCTAAATTAAGTAAGTGTAATATAGGTTTCCTTCTTTTTGATTTTTTTTTTATTTTATTAATCAAAAAATATGAGTTAAACCAAACCGATCAGGAGGTTTTTCGTAAAGAAGAAAATTTGTGGTTGCTGCGTAAGCACCTTTCAATTTTAGCAAAATTTCGAACCAGTCTGTCACAGAATTAATGCTTTCGTATTCTGAATGATACTTGTCAAGTGCTGTGCAATCAACAAAATCGCTGTATAGACTGTCAGGCCACCCATAGTTTTTAATTAAACCGTCGGCTGAAAAAAGTTAGCTGTGTGAGTCACCTAACTTTTGAATTTTTTGATTCTAGACCAATTGCAAAATTTATAACTGACTTAAAGAAATTTTTTTTCAATGCAAATTGTCTTTCGTATGTTTTGTTTAGAGGAACCTTTTTGTTTAACATTAGTCAAAGACAGTGGTGTGAGCCATTTCAGTGTACCGGTCATTTCAGTAAATGATGTAATGATGTTACTCATCTGCTCTTTTATATCTTTACGCACGTTTTCACGTTCAGCCGGATCCACTGTTTGCAGATATGTATAACCTACAAAAACACAAATTTTCAATGACTTTTTCAGCTTGAAAAACCGCAACAATTTTAAAATTTCAGAAAAACTTTCTCTAAAAACTTTATTTAGCAAAGGTGTTTTCAATGAACAATATAATTATAATGTTTTCCAGCTTTTTTCAGTCTTGATATTTAAAAGTGGTTGAACGCAAACCGGTTGCAAATGGCATATAGTCTAACGGTATTGAAACACACGAATATGCTCGATTTTCCCATTCATCGTTTTGAAGATTAAATTTTTTTATTTTTATTGACAAAGATTTGTACGCATCTGTGTTACTCGCGCTAAGAAACTCGGCATTTTCCTAGAAAGGAAACATGTCTTCAAAACAAAGCTTAAGAAAGAATGGAGCAATATGACAAGCGATTGTAAATAAAAACAAAAATCTTTGCGTCCTTTTTGTTAGCGATAATTTCCATTCTAAATCACTTACAATTATCAGCCTTATTGCTAGTAAATTGACCGCAGCACGTCTGTGAGTTTTCGAGAGCATTAGAGAGCTAAGAGCTGCAGTATAAGCTGGTTCTGCTATGATAAACGTGTCAGACGGCCAAATATTTCTCTAAAAAGTTTTCTGAAAAGTAGAATTTTTTGTTTAAAAAAAGAAGCTTATTTTTGTTTGCTCAACTAAAACAGGTAAAACTAAAGTATTAAAGATAATTAGATTTTAGCATTTTAAAAAGCGCTTGTAAGTTAGATATTAATTTTTAATCAATTTTTTCAATTTTTTTACTATCATATTGTGGGTTTAAAACAGAACAAACTAAAACCTATTAAAAAAAATTTTTAAGAATTAAAGAATCTTTTAGCGTTTTTTGCTTCTTTTATTGCAATTTTTTGGAATTACGTTTGTCAGCGTCTCAAAGTAGCTTTTCCAAAGAATTCCTGGATAAGTAGCGCCAAGTTCAGTCAAAGTCATTAGATTGTACTGCTCATTGAAATTCCGAAGTTGTTCGTCTGGTAACGATGCTGATGCTAATTTTTTTTCCAACGATAATGCGTCAGTTACATCCTTCAAAAAAACAAGATTTGAATAAAAGTTGAGATAATATTATTAATAAGACAATTCTGAAAAAATAATACTTAAGGCTTTTCGAGTTAAGCATCTGTAAATTCAAACTTACCTTTATGAACAGTAATTTTACAGCAGTTTTTTAGCTTGAGCTATAAAACTACTTATCCATCCTTTAAAAAAAAAAAGTTTCTTTACAGAATAAAAAATAAATGATAAAAATTTTTCGTTTTAATTATAGTTTTTTTGAATTGTTATAAATATAAAGTTAAAAAAACCTAAACTGTACATTTTTAACGTCTCCCACGCCTGTGTTACCAGTATCTTTTATAAATATATTTGTCGTTGTTATTGTCTCACTAACATAACTTTCTAAATCGTCTAGGAATTGAGGCTTTACATAATATTCTCGTGCCATATTTAATACTACCTAAAATTTTGCTAGGGATATATCTAATAAGTTTTATTCAATAATGAGCAAACAAACAAAAAAAAAACTAGAGGAACACTTGTACAATAATTTTAAGAGTTTATTTAAACAAATTACATTAGAATGTTTAATCGATAAATTTCAATTGTTGTATTTAGAATCAGATTCAGTTGAGCAGAATGTATATAAATAACCAAACGAAAAAGATACTTGGTTGACATATAGAGCATTCTTGCTAACATTTTTATAATCTACTGTGACAAAAGATTGCAGCAGCGTAGGCATAGAGTATAAGCGCTCCAATGTTGCAACTCCCTTCCAAAACTCGGTATCACTCGGTGCAACCCATTGTCGGTCAATCATCGGAATTCCATTAAAACTGATTATTATATAATCATATACTAGTAATGCATACATTGCAAGAATAATATTAAAAAATTTTCTTTAGCAAAACAGTGCTTTTTAAAAAGAGGAATGAAAGATTTACAAAATAGATTAAGACAGGATTTTATTTAAGTGAAAAACAAACTTTTCCCGCATCATTTCATAAAGTCTCTTTGCTCTATTTTTAGAGACTTCTGCTGTTGGAGAATCACTCATACAAGCATCAAAAACCTGAACACATCTAGTTAACTGAATAATGCTAAACTTATAAAAAAAACTCTGCTTAAACAAGATGGTTACTGCTGAGAAAAGAACGTAAAAAAAATAAACGAAGTGAAAAGATATTGAATGGTAAATAAGATGTAAAACTGTTTACTTTTAGTGATGTCAGTTAAGAAAATTTTATAAAATTTTTGTACTGCTTACTTATTTTTAAATTATGGTGTAAATGTAAAAACTTTCAATTTTAAATTCAGTAAATTATCGGTAGAGATATTACACTGTTTAAACAATACTAAAGTTCTTGAAATAACATTTTTTTTCTGATATTGAAATTGCAACACTGAGAAGACTGTAATAAAATCAGTTTACAATAGTTTTTAGAGAGTTACTGCCAAATTTTGTGCAGTCTTAATTTCAAAAAAAATGAAGCAATAATTGACTTTCAGCATTCTCTTCAATGTCGTTTCTGGATTGGTTTTTGTAATTTTTTGCACAAAAAAAAGACATTCTAAGCTGACTTTCTAAATTTTAAACTTTCTCATTATTTCTTGTTGAAAAATTTTTAGTATTGAGCAACAATTCGATAGAAGAGAAAAGTATAATCTTTAAACAACTTTTGCTTGAAAGTACAGTAACATCAAATATATCTACTCAATGTTACTTTTTGTGAATGTTAGTCTACTTTTAGAACCCACAATGTTCAAATCTTTAGACATTTTTTGCAAACTGTAGCTTCTAAAAATTGAAACACAATTATGTTGTTTGGTCTTTTAAAAGTTCTTCCTTTCTTATTTTCTTCCTCTTTTTCTGACTTTTTTTTACAGTGGCAGCAAAACAACCAATATTAAATTTCTCTTTACGTTTTTAAAAAATTATAGAAAATTTAATTTTTCACAAAATACCTTTTTTAGAATTTGTTCAGTTGTAGACTTTAGATTCGAAGTGTTATTAAGCCTCTTCGCTACAGCTAAATTAACCTTCTTCTGCGTTTCATCATAAGTCCCAATTCTTGACGCTCCTTCTGGCAGTTTTTGGTGTTTTTTCAGATATCCGCCACATGCGAACATATAAAAATTTTCACACGGGTCATAACTCTGATCCATTCCTTGCGAAAGAATTTCCCCAGCTTCCTATAGTTTACAGACTAAAAAATGAGAGTTTTTAAGTTGTCCTACCTATAGCCTCCTAGTATTTGTTGGTATGTACAGACAAAGCACAAGTACTCTGCTAAGCCAAGAACATTTGTCATCTAGAACCTAAATCGTCAGAAAAGAGAAAAAGTTTAATTACACAGTTGAAGAAAACGTTTGTGGTTGGACTGAACCTCTTGCTCAAACTTTACAACTTTGCTTAATTAGAAGACCTATATGAAAAGTAAACATTTAAAAAGCTTCTATGAGTCACACTACAGGAAATATGGTTAAATAGCCCTTAGAAGTGTAATTTTTACGTAAATTGCCTTTACATGTTACAGTTTTACAGCCGTTGCATTGAGAAACTGGAATTTGAAACAGTTAACACAGATGTTATTATTATCATTATTTTCTTTATTATTATTGATTTTCTTATTATTATTATCATTATTGATACTATTTACAAAAAGTTGTTAAAAAATGCGAGACGAGGATTTATTAACTATTCTATCTATAACCGAAAAGATTCTCTAGTAACGGTTTCAGAATACTAACTGGGTCATTTAAAAAATAGACATGTCTGACAAAAGACTGACACGTTAGCGCATTTTTCTGCCAAAAGCACAAATCTGCTGCAGCTACTAAAATTTATAACTGGAGAATGCGAAACATTAAGGTGCTTTTCAAATTTACCAGTACCTTTATTAATTTTCTTATTAATTCTATTATTTTTATAGCCTTCAATTACAAGAGTAGGCAGCAATTGTACACATAAACAACAATTTTTTGAGCGACTGTAGCCGTGATGTATTAAGAGTAAAAATTTTTTGATGCTGCGCTACAAAATGCATATCGCGTTATCTCGTAAACGTCTGTCACGTATGCTTCCTAGTTTTTTTGCTCAATTCCGGACACCCACAAACGGAACTTCCTCCGTGCTAGCAACTAAGGTCAGTGAGAAAGTCCGTGATCACCACACTTCAACTGTTGTTTATCTTCTTCCTCCACACAGTTCTTGGTGGCTGAGAAACAATTTTTCGTATTTCCTCATCAGTCACAGAGTTAATTAAAAGCAGTGAATGTTTTCAAAGACTGGTGACCGCTATCTGATTCTTCAAATTCACTCTCGCTTCATTTCTACTTTATTTTGACAAAAAACACACTTCCTTTTATTGCGTTGACTTTCGTGTGCAGATGGCATTTTAAAATACCCTTCTCACCATATTTACATCAGAAGGGACATTCTAGTATACATCTTCACTCCCACTTTAGTAATGCTATGGCCACGCAGTTTGATTACGTAACAGCAGGTATTCTAAAAATCAACTTTAACCTACAAAGTATTTAATCAAAATTTGAAAAAAGATAGTACTCTTTATAATTGACAATAGGAAATGAGGTAAGAGTACATTAGAAAAATGCTTAAAAAAACAGCGAGATTTTTACATTTAACCTATTGTTTTTTGGTACCAAAGTGCTTACATTATATGGTACAAGAGTAAAGAACACGTCGAGAACAATCCGCTATCACTTCTGGTACCGCAAATTATATATAACATTCCTTTCTTTTACCACATTTTCTTCAAAATGTGCCGTTTCTTTGAAACACCTGCGCTTATACAGAACATTAGAAACGGCAGTTCTTTTGTTTCGCTCCCTCGCTTTTTTCCTCTACTTTTGTAGCTATTCCCGGTAAAAAACATAGCACTCATTTACTATTGGAAAGGAACGTGACAAGTGAATGTGCTTGATGTAGGCTGGTCATCCTTAACTTCGAAAATATAAAATTATTAATGGCATAAAATTTTCTGCGAAAACTATTACTTCATTTTGCCCACTGCGACATTTAGACGGCGTTAAAAATGGTCTTACGCCAAAATCAAAAAAACTCTGTTGCTGACGGTCACAGTTAAGAAGGATGTAGTGTGCCAAGAAGTAGAATCCTAGTCAAAAAGTAATGGATGCGATAAAACTGGAGATTTCTTATATCTTGCAAAACTCTTAAAAATTAAAAAAAAAATGGTTTTCTACCTGGAAGAAACTTTCGCTTGTTTCAGACATTGCTAAAATAAACCGTATTTGAAAAATACGTTTTTAAAAGAGGTACTTTACCAGAAAGAAGTCGTGAAGTTTTTATCAAAACTCTTACTTAAGCTTTTTTTTGCGAAAGCATAAAAACATAAATCAGCCTTTTCAAATCGATTTTTTGTACACTTGGTACGAAATATGCATTACAAAATTTTAGAAAAAAGATTTCAGCCGGATTGATTCTCAACAACGAACGGCCACAATACTGCATTAAAAATTGCCTACAAATGCCAGATCTTAAAAAGGCCAGTAGCGTTCTTCCTGTACGTTGCCTTGCTCTTTTAAAAAATTGGTCAAAATTTCAGAACAAAAGATCTTGATTAAGTTATTCGTTTTGCTGTTATCTAGTTTGCTTCGGCACATCTTAACATAGCTCCTTTTTAAATTTTGGTAAATAATGAAGAATTTCAGTTGACAGGAACTCATATTAAGCGAGTTGACAGTTGGCAACAAAAGAAATTGTCGAACAAATATAGAATGCTGGAAATGAGTTTCTTTTTGAAGTGCAATAAAAGATAACCTTTTAATGAAATTGTACCTTGCATTAGTTTTTGGAACTCAGTTTGGTAGCTTTGAAACTTTTATTAGACCATAGTAAAATTTCTCAGGACACTTAAAATGTAACCAGGAAACGTTTTCAGACGTACTGCAAAGTTCGCATTTGTCACTCCGGTTGTCGTTTGATAATTGCTTGATGTAAGCTTAGATTGGCTAAACTTGTTGAGAAGATCATGATTTTCATCTACTCTCCGGTATGTCAGAGCTGCCAGTACCACGGCAATTATAGAAACAGCCAGGGCCACAACCACAAAAGCTGAAAAAGTGCAATACTAACCAACACCTTCCTCAAATTTGTTTTTAAACATATTTCTTTTATTGGCAAAAAGTTTTAAAATTTTTTTATCTAATTCTGCTTCGCACTTAATTGAAAAGCAGAATGAGAGGTCTTATTTTGAATTACTTGAAGATGGAAAAAAAATTGAATACTGGTAAAAAAAAAAGAAATTTCTGAGAGGCTCAAGTAGGATTTTATTTGGTAAGACTATCACTCAAGAAGCCAATCGTAACGAACAGATATTGCCAGTCAGTTTAAACACCTTTTCAAAATAGACAGAAGTAAAATTTTAAGAGTTTCAAGACGTTAGTCAAGTTTTATAAGCTTTATCAGCCTAATTTTAATTCTTATGATCCAACGCGATAATCTGCAAGAACAGATAATGAGCGTTCTAGTATTTCTCTAAAAAAAATTTGGCATCTTTCTGAAACAATGTTCACGCCTAATTGCTTCTTTAGCAAAAAGGAAAGTAAACTGTACAGTCAAGTGTTGAAAGTCAAGAAGTGTTCAGATCAAAGTAATTTTCATAGTTTTCCACTAGTCGTCTAGGTGCACTATGCACTCGTATGTGGAGGTATTCGTTATACTCCGCTCTTAAATTATCTACGCTTTCTACTCGCAGTTTTATACTCACATATCAAAACTTCATTTAAAAAACATAAATAACGCACTCGCTTACTGATTATTTCAATATTGATTTGAGAGGTAATATGCCTTATCCACGTAGTATTTGCTAAAATCTTTGCAAATAGCTGCAGCTTATCTAGCAGCTTCTTTTGTTTAACTCAGACAGAATATCATTTTGTATGTTACTTAGTACTTCTAATAAAATCATACTTCATTTTTTATCTCATAAGAAAAACTAAAAAGCTGTTTAATTTTGCTAAAATCAGACAAGGCTATGTAGGAGTGACAAAACTTGATTTATTATTTCAGACATATGTGACTTAAAACAAATGATGTGTTTGAAGTAGAGAAAGTGAAGTATTCAAACCTTTCTTTCTTTTTATCTATTAATGTTTAAATATTTTTTTGAATTATACACAACTTTTGCCTTTTGGCATTTAAAAAAGCTTATTTAGTTTACAGTCGTAAATTGTTATTTTTTTAATATAAATTTTGAGAAAAATAGAAAATTAATGCAAATTACTTCTAATAAATAAAGCTTTAATTTTTTAACTCTAAATTCGTTGCAAAGAAATGCTACAAAATTTAATCCTAAAAAAACCTGTCATGAATTTGCAGTATTAATTACTAGACATTGAAAGTTACCAGACAACAGGCCAAAGAACACTTTAACACCTTGACCGCAGAATATCTTCTTTAGTTCAAATCAGCTTAATTTTACTACTTTAAAAATAGTCAGTTCTTTTAGTCCAGTTAACAGTAACATTAAAACTAAAAAATTTTGAGACGATTCTGAATGTCTTGAAACACATAATTTGAAAGTTAGAAAATTTTATTCATTTCTTGTACAAACTTTAAGACTTATCAAAGCTATAAATTTTTTTTTCTTCAAAGGTGTTTGATCTGCATTTAACCTGAACTTTTTTGAAAGTGTCATCTAGTTACATATCTTTCTACAGGCTACTGCGAAATCAAAAAATAAAAAAAAAAAAAAAAAAA